CGAGCCGAACACAAACACACTTTTTGAGCTCGAAATATAAACGAGCCGAACACGAGCTGAGCCCAGGCTCGTTTACACCCCTATTACTCACTCTTGTTCCATGTCTCTTGTGCTCTCTCTATATCTCGGTTTGTGCGGGATAAAAGGAGTGATAGAGATATGCTTTGCGACAAAACTTTGTTTGAACGTGAGCAAATAAAAAAATTATATATAATTTAATTAATTAATAAAATAAAGTTATTTTTACAATATCCCTTAAAAAAATTTCATTCTCAAAAATAAAATACAAGAACATAATTTATACCTCTACTAAAAGACTGTAGATAATGTTTTCTTTTTTTTATTCTTTCTTCCATGTGCCATCTCATTTTGTCCAGTGTCCAATGCTTCCAAAATACACTGATAAAAAGAATATTTTGATTTCTAAATTGTTTACATCATAAACTATGATTCTTTGTAATTCTTCTATAAAGGTCAGATCAAGGTGGATATCTATAGTCTATGACAAGTGTGTTAGTCTCACCAGTAATATACTTCTGAAAAAAAAAGATATGAAACACATCATGTATTCTGTATGTGTTAGTAGGGCAAGTCTATACGCCACTTACCGGATCTTGTCTAAAATTTCATATGGACAAATATATTATGGGCTCAACTTTTCAAATTTCTTAAATTGTTTAACACCCTTAATAGGATTGGCCTTTAGAAAAATATTTTTTCTATTTCAAATTCCATTGTTTAGTGTTTATCATAATGGTATTTTCAGTTTGTATCTTGAATAACTCTTAGTTTATCACAAATTAGTCGAATTTTCTCAGTGATTTCAACAACTAACTCAACACCAATTATCTTTCTTTCGCCAATTTATGCCCAACAAAGATGTATCCTGTATTTTTTTTATATAGAGCTTCATAAGGAGTCATATTAATACTGGTTTGAAAATTATTATTGTAGGCGAATTTTATTAAGGGTATGTGCATTTCTCAATTTCCACCAAAATCAAGCACACAGAGTCTAAGTAGGTCTTCTAATATTTGGATCGTTCTCTCTGATTGACTATTTTGTTTGGGGATGAAACATTGTACCAAAGATTAGTTATATATGCAAAGTCTCTTGAACTTTCATCTGCAGTCTAGATGTGAATCTATTGTCTCGATATAAAACAATTGATTTTGGGACCACGCAGTCGAACAATTTCGTCTACATAAATTTTGGTCAGCTTGTCTATAAAATCAATCTATTTGATAGGTAAGAAATGTGCAGATTTGGTCAGACTATCAATAATCACCCATATAATATCATGATTTTATTTTGATCTTTATAGCCCCATCACGAAATCAATAGCAATGTCTTCTCACTTTCATTATGAGATTGACAACAATTGTAGTAGCTCACTAAGCTCCTGATGTTCAGCCTTAACCATCTAACAAGTGGAACATTTTACCATAAACTCTGTTACACTGTGCTT